TATCTTTAATTTATTAACTACTTATTTGATTATTAGTAAATTTAATTAATTCATTAAAAACATATGTTAAGAAACATTTTCGTATCAAAATATTAGTTACTAATTTATTATTAGCTCCCGCACCTATTTTTTCCCAATTCGCACCACCACTCAAACCTATTACAGATCCGGGGGCGCCACCTTCTGGCGGAGGTGTCGTACATTCGCAATAAGACAGCCACCGAGGGCGTGGCTCCTTGTTAAGAATCATGTATTGAACTTTTGAATTTGTGTAAAAATCGTACTAACAACCTTAGATTAGACATAATTTATGCTAAAACGAGCGTTTTTGGTACATGTTAACTTGATAATATTCAGAATCTGATAGAATTCTTCCAATTTACATATTTTCTAACACAAAACACAAACACAATTTAAACATTCAAACAAACTAATCCCGCCAAAGCCAACTTCCACCAATTTCCATACCCTCGCGATGCGACGGGGTGTAAACTTCCACCAATTTTCAGACCCCCGCGGAGCAACACCATGGCCGAATCCTAGAATCTGTCGTCGTGAAGGTCTCAGCGACAAAGCTCACGGCGTACACTTTTTGTCACGTCGAGGCACGACGCCATACGAGGTTCCACTTCTCTGCCATTGTTACGACCCTGCAATATCATCTCGCACTGCAAGATTCTGCACGAGGGTGGATCCAAAAATTTTGTTGTGTGTGTGCCTAAAACTAATTTCGAGAGATGACACAATGACCTAAAAAGAAACTGTAATATTTATTTTTTTTATAAGATTTATTAAGAAAAAATAGAATATGATTTTCAAACTCATAAATATAATATTACGTGTGCTTATACTTAAAATCTTATACAACTAAAGCTATTGCCGAATATCTTTTTAATATGTTATAGAATGAATCTACAATATATTATATAGATAATAATAAATTAGAATTATAATATTGTTACTACATTAAATAAAGAGATTAGATAGAATTGGTTGGAGTTGAAATCAATCAAATTGATCATCTTGATTTGAACGGTAAAAAAAAGGTCAAACAGGCCAATTGGATGGATCCAATTTTTTTCTTTTTAAAATAATTTTTGATAATTTAAATATATTTTTCAAATAAATAAAATTAATTATGTAAATATTGAATATCTATAAATTATTATATTGATTCGTTTGGACATCTGAGTATTTTAAATCATCTAAAGTAAATTATTTTTATGTAATATATATTTATAAATATTAATGTTTTAAGTTCTAGTTCAAGTGTGAGCAATGAAATTGTAGCTTAAAACTTTGGTTGTCAATTCAGAAAAAAATAAATATATAAAAAATAAAAGTAATTATGAAGTAAATATCATCACCTTTTATTTATATTCATTTTCCCTGTATAAGTTTATTTGATAGGGCTTTTTTGTTTTCTTATGACTAATGCATTAAAAATATCTGATTTTACATCCAATGTAAAATTTTCGCCCAAAATCTGAGTGAGGGTCTTGGCTCCCACTGGACTCAATATAGATCCGCCCATGGTAATTTTTTTGAACTTTGTTGATCTTTAATTCGTGCATGTCTCACCCAGGTAAACACATTGTTGAGTTGATGACATTCATTCGCATCATTCTCATCCCTTTCAAGAGTGTCCTTGTCCTCAAGGATAAAATTCGAAATTCAGACATGCATATCTTCTAGATTTTCCCAAGTTGAGTTCCTCCCACTCAATCAAGGCTCCCAGCGAAATCAACCAAACTTCTTAACCATTCGATAATCTATTACTCGAGTTGGCCACACTATCATTCACAGCCCGCAGCTTCGTATGTGCTTCGTGATGATCGCCTACACTTTTCTTCAATTGCGACACACGACTAATTGTGTGGATTGAGACTCCACTGGTAAATCAAGTCGATATGCCACCTCACCCACACGTTCCATGATTTGATATGGACCATAATAATGACTGCCCAACTTAAATAAAGCCTTCTGAGAGATCGTTTATTGGTAATAAGGTCGAAGCTTCAAGTAAACACAATCGCCCGACTGGAACCGTTCCTCCTGTCTTTCTTTATCATAGTACTCTTTCAACCGATTGATCGGCCGGTGGAGGTTACCTTTTAGTTCCTGAAGCATCAACTCTCGTTCTATTAGCTCATGATCAGCGTCAGCATTCAGAGACTTTTCTAACTGATAGCTGATCAACATAGGCTCCACCTGACCATAAACCAACTCGAAAGGTGTGAACTTAGTCGAAGCATGATAAGTCATATACCAAACTTCCGCCCACGGTAAAAAATTCTCCCACTTTCTTGGAAACTCGTGAACATAGCATCTGAGGTGTTGTTCAAGGATACAATTGATTACCTCGGTTTAACCTTCAGTTTGAGGATAATACGCCGAGCTCATAGCCAATTGAGTTCCATGTATTTTGAAAAACTCTTTCCAAAGGTTACTCATGAAGATCCAATCTCGATCCAACACAATTGATCTTGGCACCCCATGCAATTTCACAACATACTCCATGAATAATATGGCTACTAACTTAGTCGTGTATGGGTGAGTCAACGAAATAAAATACGTATATTTGTTAAGACGGCCCACTACCACCATAATGCCATTGAATCTGTAAAGATAGGTAAGCCTTCAATAGAGTCCATCGTGATATCCTCCCAAACTGGATCGGGCACCGACAATGGTTCCAATAGCCCGCGTGGTTTTCTGCATCAGATTTTACCCATTGGCAAACATCAAACATTGCCACAAAACTTTCGAACTTCATTCTGTACCCCCGACCAGTAAAAAGTATTTGATGGTTGTACCCATGTGCGGTAAACTCTCAAATGTCCCCTAATTTTAAACTCATAAAAATAATGAACAATCAATTAATCGACTTCCATACATACACCCGCCCTTTATAAAATTACAATCCTCCATGGACATTATAGTCTTGAGGCGCTTCATCGTGAGCTTCCATCATCATACAAACATCACTACAAAAGGCATCTTGAGTGCTAGCCTCTTGTAATTGGTCCCATATAGCCAATGTCATGCCAGAAGTGGGTTGAAGTTCGGCCACATCAGTGTGGTGTGATAAAGCATTCGCTACCGCGTTTTGTTGACCGGGTCAAACAAATCTCAAAGTCGAATCCCATTAACATTGGCACGAACTTTTGTTGCTCCATAGTTACAATTCTCTGCTCCAATAAATTCTTAAGTGGTTGTTGTGTTAGTGTTATCTACTGAAAGTTTGGCTTTGGATGATATTACACTTTTACCCTCCATAAATTAGAATCATGTTAGATTAAACAAGTTCTGTGTTCTATTATTTTGCACTTAGATAGAATGGGTTGTCATCGGGCGAACCGAAGCTCATTCTATCAGTTACTTGCGAAAGAAGAATTGTGGTTCACAAGCTAGATGGAAATGAACACCTCATCCAAACGGTTGTAGTGTCAACGGTACAGTTTGTCTTGGCAGATTAGTTGCACTAGTATATGTATGTATTGAGCAGGATCTCAGAGAGGAGAAATTCGTTTTATATTGATCGTCGTAAACGAACTAGGACTCGGTTAATTACTGTATTCTCTTAACTCGTAAGTTATTAAACAGACATATATATATACAGTATATATTACTTTGATTCACTTGGGTGATGTTCAGTTTGCCGAATTAATATTCTTAATGTCTTGGATAATATTACTATATATATGATGTGCCGTTAGGGATTGAACCACGTGTCCCTTTAAGGATTGGACCATACAGAAAAGGCATCTAACTCAGGAGAAGCGTCGTTTAGGGATTGGACCACGTGTCCCTTTAGGATTGGGCTGTTTGACCACCTGACAAGTCTGGCGCCTGGGGCAGTGCAGGTCGTGCGAACGGGCAGCTTGGACAACTAACTCAACTCTCCAGGCAAACTTGGGGAACAAGATACTCCACCCTTATATAAAGGGGTGTGGTAGATTAAGTCTTTCTTCTTGATACTTTTTATAACCGAAACTACATTGTTCATCATTTCCTACATAGTTCTAACTTAAGTATCGAAAACCCTTCAATGAAAAATCTATCCAGTTGCAGGTCTTGAAGGCCATTCTCGACGAAGAAGACAGATCAAGTCGATTCAAGACAATCAAAAGTCTTTACGTACCAATATCCAATATCAATCACCACATACCATCCATATCATACATTATTAGAGTAAAATCTTTAGCAATCATTTATAATGTGGTTCCACATATTATTACCCTACTACTAGTGGCGTGACTTGACCATATTCATGGCTTATTTAAGTCATATAAGCAAAATATTGTGAAGGAGCAATTTATCATACAAGTCAAACGAATATGGTGGAACCTTTTCTCAGAATTGCTACTATATCTTCACATAAGTTATGTCTGATGACGTAATATAATACCAAATTTCACAATTTTAAAAACTTTATAGAGGTGGGGAAACTTCTACCCAACCAAAAAATAGTGGAAAAAGATTACGTAAATCTTGACCCACAAAATAAAATTATATCAGATCAGGACTCTAGGATATCCAACCTTGAAAATAAAAATGTCTAATATTTATTTGCAT